CTCATCGGCGCATGGCCCGACCGAACCATCCTCATCACAGGCGCGACCGCAGGAATCGGAATCGAAACCGTTCGCGCCTTGTACGCCACCGGCAGCACTATCTATCTCTGCGCGCGCTCGCTCACAAAGGCGGAAGCAGTGAAGACCGACATTGAAGGATCCGGTAGTAATAACGGGACCGGCAAGATCCACATCCTCGAACTGTCTCTCGACAACTTATCCTCCGTGCGCAGTGCAGCAGCAGCATTTCTCGCACAATCCACGAAATTGGACATTCTGATTAACAACGCGGGGATAACATCGCCAACATACCAGAAAACCGTCGATGGACATGAAATCCTCTTCGGCGTGCATCATCTCGGTCCTTTCTTGCTAACTTCGCTCCTGACGCCCGCACTCCAGGCGGCCGCAACGCCTGAAAGGGCAAGTCGTGTGATCAACGTCTCGTCGGCCGCGCATAACATGTACTGCGAAGCGCAGATTGATTTATCTGATCTGGACTGGTCGCGGCGCGAATATAATCCCCTGAACGCATACGGGTCGTCTAAAACAGCAACAATTTTACATGCCAACGCGCTGGATAGACGATTCGGAACGGACCCCGCACATCCGGTGCGAGGGTACAGTTTGCATCCTGGCGGGATTATGACGGGTTTGGCGACGAATGCGGCGCCCGAGGATTTGGCCGAGTGGGCCAAGTACAAGGATATCTTCAAGTCGGTGGAGCAAGGAGCTGCGACGACGGTGTGGTGTGCGGTTGCAAAAGGGCTTGAGGGAGGGGGTGGCGTGTATTGTGAGGATTGTGGGGTTGCGGAGGCGGCGAGTGTGGGTGAAGATGGGCAGAGGAGGAGGGACAAGGGGTATGCGCCGTGGGCGATGGGGGATAAAAAGACGGAAGAGGAGTTGTGGGAATTGAGTGAGAGGTTGGTTGGGTCGTGAGAGCAGGAGGAGTTCGTATCGTCGTTACCATCATAAGTCTGTAGGTGTCCTGCTAGTAGAACAAGCAGATCGGAAAACGAAGTGTGCGCTTAGTGCGTCTTGAATAGCTTCGGCTGATCCTGAAGGTCTTCGGTATCCAATTCCAAAGCCTGCAATACTGGCCCAGAGCGGACATCTTCTCTCTTACGCGGAAGATCCGGGCGGCTCTTGACCATGAAGTTGCTACCCATCATCGACCTCTCCTTGCCACACTATCTCTCATCTTTGCGCTTGTCGTTCTCATGGCCTGGCTGGCCGTCGCGTGATAGCAACCGCATTCGAGCCGCTCGCCATATTTCCTCGTTGGAAAAACCGGCGTCCACGAGGCCTCGTTCCTCGATATCTTCTATAAGCTCGACCGGAACCAAAGGACGCTGTTTCTCGCGAGGTCAATGTTACTGGCTGCCTTTGACTTCTAGAACTCGGATTGACTCGGTGGACCTTCTCTGCTTCTTCGTCTTCTTCATCCACCCATGCCGAGTCACGTCTGTTCTGCGCTGCTTCTTCAACAATACGCTTCTTTTCCTCATGCTCTCTTTTCGAACGTTGAATTACTGCGACCTAGATCTCTTCAGCACATGATCTCTGGCATCATCTCTTTCCCTTCATCTTCTCCAACACTCTAACCTCTTGTTCTCTCTGCAGTCTCAGCTTCTCCAACTCCTCATCGATCTCCCGGTTTTTCAGCACTGCCTTCTCCCTCTCTTCCATCCGCTCTCTTGCTTCAGCCATTTTCTCCGCGATCGCTGCGCTGACGGCATCCTGGAATTGCTCCGGTGTCTCAATCTGATGGTCGCGCACGAACTTGTCTCTGAACGCCGCTAGGGTCTCTGGCGAGGGTCCTGGGCCACCTGTATGATAGCCGTTCACATGAGTGAGGTTCACGCCTGGGATTGGCGAGGAATACGTGCGCAGATTCGAGGACAGCGGTATAGGGAGCTGTGATGCAGGGACCACGGGCGTGTCGCGACTCGGTGTTGGGAGTGATGAGTTGTCGGGCGGATGTAAAATGGCGCTCATGACTTCGTTTTCGAAGTTCTCGTTGTAAGGAACAGTGGCTGGCGAGAAATCGACCATTGGCTGAGACTGAGGCATTCCATCGTTGGCGGGGCTGGCGTCTTCGCCGGGCGTGAGTGGCGCATTGCTCATCGGGGTGTCCATTTGAGCTATGATATCGTCAAAAGTTCAGATAGCGATACAGCATAGGAAGAGCTTTTGACGCGGTGAAAATGCACTGTCCTGTTGTGAGTGTGTTATTCGTCGTGATCGCAGTTGAGATGGATGCCACTGCGCCAGCCGAACGTGGTTAGCCGACTCTTCGGACCTCCGCCGCAACTTCCTCAACTTTATCGACTGGCAGCCTCGAACACTGTACACGCACCCAACCTTTCAATTTCACCCCTTCTAGACGTTGCAAACATGGCCGACAAACTCCGCGCACAGCAGCAACTCGAGGCGCTCCAGGCGCGCTACATCGGCATCGGCAGCGCAGACACGACAAAACACGAATGGACGTCAAACATTGCGCGCGACTCGCTGGCAAGCTACGTCGGGCACCCACCACTTCTGCAGTACATGAGCATTGGCCTGGGACAACCGCGCGAGAAGACGAGAGTTCAATTACTGGAGCGCATGGTGCGGCCAGTTGGGCCGCCGCCTGAGGTACGACTAGCCTGATCGCAAAGGATTGAGCAGAGTGACGGGCTGACAATTATACAGCAACAGGATTGATGATTCTTGACGACCGGATCACGAAATCTCCTTGAGGACTACAGAGACTTACTATGGCGTGCGCGCACTTGCAAGGGTGCCTTGCAATGAAGGCAGAGGAGTCACTTCGCTGTCAAGCTCGGATGATGAATGGGAGGGACGGGCACTGGGGCAGCAGATGGAGTGGAAGGAAACGAAGTGAGCGACGCTGATATTCCCGTGGCGTCGAATGCGCTTTGTAGGTGCAGTGCGCAGCACAAAGCGCATCGAGGGTATGCTCTAGTTCCCTCGCGCTGTATAGTGCCAGTGTACTGAGAGTCGCGAACCACACGCATGTCTCCGTACATGGTTTTGAATGTAAATGATACCAATATGCCTCCTCAATCGCTGTCGCTCGCACTTCCTGTCGGACCGTCGTCGTCCTCCTCGACCACGTCTCCTCCCGCCTGCATGCTGAACTCTCCCTTCTGAAGTATGCTACGGAGTTCGGTGTTGCGCGGATCTGCGAGCTCGATGGGCTTGAGCTTGGCCTTGTTCCGTATCCTCGGATCGCAGCCAGCGTCTAGCAGTATTTCCACGATCGGGTGACCGTGGGCCCAGTCACCCTTGTCAAGGGAGTTGACGTAGCGAACGGCCTTGTGCAAAGGTGTGTCCTGTTCCAAGCGGTCGATTTCTTCAATCTCTATGCCTTCCTGGTCGAGTAGGATGTCGAGAACTTCGTCTACACTCATAATCAGTGGCGTTTACCAGCATGTGCGATTTGTGCTGGACGTACAGCTCCCATATGTTGCAGCAACGTGCAAGACACCATTGCCTACACCGTCCTTTGCGCTATTGAGTATTTGTGCTACGAGTTCCGCCGGCTTCCCGCCAGATTTCGAGGCTGACGCGCTGACGTTTGCTATGGTCTCCTCGAGTAGTGTGGTGTTGTTGCGGCGGCATGCTTCGAAGACGAGCTCGCGGGGTGATGCGCCCTGTAGACTGTCAGCCTTGGAGATCTCGACGATGTAGTGCTCGTACTTCTTCTTCGGCCATTGTGAGCAAGAGATAACTTCCAAGAGTCTAAAGTTGAATCGCAGAGTGACTTTCTGCGCTGCTGTAGCGGGGCTCACGGGAGAGCAGATGGTGGGCCGAATCTAGCGGATGTACAGTGTGTCTCTGAGAAGGTATTTGCCGCGCCAAAGGTGTGTCGGGGTGAAGGATTAGCCAAGTCGCCAGCGAGGTCAGCTGCAAGATGAAACTCTGTTTACAGTGCGCGTCCCTGAGGCTCGTGGCTGCAGGGAGTGTCGGTGAATCGCCCCGCACTTTGCCCTTCTGGTCGCTAGCGCTGCAGGGTCCCGCCATAACTTTTGAGATGCACAAGCCAATCCAACTGCAGTCACGTCACAAGCTGGACTGCTAAACGCCATGTTGCTCTGTGAGTTTTTTTTTAATTATATTCAAGCTTGCGCAAGCCGTAGGACTTCACTAACATTTGGATAGTCTGCCCAACATGCAGCAACATGCTGCGCGTCTCGAAAGTGCCTCCCGGTGACCCAACGACCGAGCAATACGTTGGCCAGAACCGCTTCGAATGTCTCACCTGCCCCTACCATTTCGTCATCAACAAGCGCTACTTTGAGCGCAAGTACATGAAGAAGAAGGAAGTCGAAGACATCCTCGGCGGCAAGGGCGCGTGGGACAATGTGGACAAGACACAAGGTGAGCTTGCGCAATGCAACGGGCATGGAGGAGACGGATGTTTCGTGCCAGAGACTGACAATAGAGCAGTACAATGTCCGAACGAGAAGTGCAGGAACGACGAGGCGTACTGGTACCAGCTGCAGATTCGCAGCGCCGACGAGCCCATGACGGCTTTCTACAAGGTCAGTCTTGATGTATTGCGAGTTACGGCCAAAGCTGACAAGTACAGTGCACGAAATGTGCAAAAGAATGGCGCGAATGAATGTCTTGTTATTTGGTCACCTGCCGGAGTTTGGCGCACACGAGTGCGCTGCGATATACCCAATCTGCTTGAATGTAAAAGGTGTTCATATTATTCGTCTCGTGCCATAAACCTTGCGTTGTACGTTCCGTTGTACCTCAGGCTTTAGCAGCAGGAATCTGTTCTAGATCATACATGGAAGTGTTTACTACCAACCCCAACACGCCTGTTCGATTCAAGAAGTGGAGAATTTTTGAGGCCCACTTAAACCATCGTTTTGGTGCAGGCTATTTGGACAAAAAGCATGCCTTCCAGTTTTGCGATGTATGGTGGTTGACTCCCGCAGATGTCCAGCCAGAGAGCAAAAAGAAGCCAAAAAAGAATGTGGTGACCTAACCAGGGGTCGAACCTGGAATCTCTTGATGCCGAATCTGTGGTATGGATCGTAGTCAAGCGCCTTGCCATTGGGCCATTAGGCCAGTGTACTGGATTGTGGAAGAAGTGTGAATTTATTGCAATATGACTAGACATTTATGCAGCTGTACGTGCACTGCCCCACCATGTGCGAGAAGCGAGCGATGACGCACGATTCCGGTGACAAACTCCGGTGACGCATTTCCTTCAACAAAAAACTATCACAGGCAACAACGACTAATTCGTACGCCCTCACGTCTGCACTGCCGGTGACTATGGTTAGAACAAAGCATTATAAGCGCTCGACCTGGGCGTTGAGCACCGCATTCTACTTGCACACACCTTTAGCTTGAACATTTCCAGAGTAATCATCTCGGTAGAACCAACGAGTCTTAAAAAGCTTCTCAATCATGGCTTCAACAACCAGCGGCCCACGCGAGTTCCAGCCTGTCATTGCGCAATTTTCAGGTGATCGGTTTATCAACGGAGGCGGCGTCGCCATTTTCCATCTTGCGACTGGCAGAGTTGTGATATGTAGTGCTGTAGACCGACGCGTTGGAAAGTACTATTTCCTACCCAAGGGACGACGAGATGCCGGCGAGGAGAGCGGGCGGGGAGCAGAACGAGAAGGATATGAGGAGGTATGCGACAGCTGATTCTGTGCGACGTGTGTTTTTTACTGATCTTCCTAAGAGTGGCTATCGCAATCGCCTCCTCCCTCTACCTATTCTGCATCGCCAACCTCAAGCCTATCCTCGCGCCCACGCGCCTCCCATGACCGCCGAGCCTGTGTGGATGCAGCTCATGCCCCTTGGTACGCGGCAGTACGTGTTATACTGGTACATTGCCGAGACGCTTCCACCGGACACTGAGAAAGTGCTCGAGACAGAGGTCGGCGCCGCGTACAAGCCTCCACCGCCATTTCCAAGAACCCTGACACTGCGCGAAAGGATTAAGATGGAGCCAGAAGGGTACGAGCCACTGCATCATGAGGGCACGGGTGTAGACGAGGAAGAGCAGACGTATGAGAGTCACCTTCTCCCGGTCGAAGAGGCTGTCAAGATTTTGGGAAGGAACAGTGTGCAGGCAGATGTTGTGTTGAAGGGTTGGCAAGGAATTCAAGATCGATTTGCGATCGAGGATGCGGCAACATCGACGAGTCCTGAGGCTATTGCATGATAAAGGTCCTTCGGGCTAACCACCGATTTGTGCACCTATCTGTGGGCCAAATCTCTTCAGCTGCAATCATTACCATACTTGCATGTGCAAGGGTGAATGTGAACCATGAGGGCCATCGCGGCTCAGATTAAGCCTACTTCCCCAGCAACACGGCAGCCTGCACGCCAATATCTTCCATCGAGAAACATATGTTCTTCAAAGCAGCACTAAGCACACCTCACATATAATCTCGTGTTTTCATGCTTTGAGTCCGTCGTGCTGCTAGTCATCGCAGCTTCCGCGTCCAATCATTCTTCAGCCTGACTGACGACGGCATGCTATAATGTCCCTACCTATCACGGTCTGCTGGACCACTCGAGACGTAGCCACTCGAATCTTAGCTGCAGGAAAAGCCAAGTACTAAAAGCAATTGACATTTCGTGGCGCCCAAAGCCGCGATCTACCTCCCTCACAATCCCCAAATCTCACCCACCGAAAAGGCTAGACGGATCACCAAACAGCAGCAACTGCATTCATGATCGGGAGAACTGGCGATCCTGCATCAATCTTCTGGCCACCAAGAGTAAACTCCCAACCCTGCATCTCAGGGCAGCATCCGTTCGACGCCTCGTGAGAGCCGCAGTGACTGCAGTTGGTATTAAAACAAGGACAACCCCTCTTGCGCAAACCATCGTCATCCTTTCCCCACTCCGTGGTAACGTTGATCATATATTCAGCCCCTTCTGGCACAGGCATTCCCTTCGGGATGAGGATGGTGCTCCGCTTGGCTGGGAATTCGAACTCAGTCCAGCCCAATTCCTCATCCTTGATATCGAATTTCAGTCCAAAGATACGCTGCAAGCCGCGTTCCACGACAATGCGACTGAACTCTGCTAAGAAAGCTTGATATTCGGACATGTCATAGCCAGGGACGTCGCAGGTTGTGTATTCGTAGGCTTGGAATATGCCGTCCGTGTCGACGAAGAAATTGAGGCCCTTGAGATTTGGGTAATTGGAAGCCAGCAATGGTCCCATGGAGATCACTTCGCCCTGGGACGGGACTGGGACCTGCTTGAAGACCATGATTTCTCCATCTTTTGTGTCGTAATGCTTATGGATTAGTCTTACGCTCACACCGCCTGGAACGTCGTATCGCTGGAGAAGAGCTCGGAGATCTTTCAAGTCATATGCATGCTCATCGGGAGCATTATGCACATCAGAGATGTGCGGAAGGGAATTATAGATGGACGATGAAATGAAGATGTCTTTGATGGGAGTCATTATGCAAGCAATTGGCGTCGTGGCTGTTCGCTCATGGATTTGCTCGAATGAAGAAGTAATGTGCCGAAGGAGACCAATTCTTATACTTGCGGTGGAGAATTTCTTGTTCAAGGGCCATCTCTGCTATTGCTGCATATGCCATATCTACGACTGACAATAACCTTTCGACGGGCTCGCTTCTTCAAACAGGCCGCCAATGAGATTCATTAACAGCAAGAGGCGTCTACATTGCATAAACTTCTCCAAAAATCGCCGGATTGAGACACATCATCAGACTGCTTGCAGCTCTACGACAATTTTTCAGGGTCAGCTCGTCGCCCCCAGCTGGCAGCGCTGTGCATTTCGTCTCAGCCTTGTCGTCAGGTCAAGTGCGCATCTTTCACTTCTCCGGCTGGTTACCGTGCCCGTGCACCCAACGTGCGCCGTCGGCCAACGCGCGGAATCGGCCGTAACCATCACCAGAAAACTTGAGGCTGTAGAGCCACAGACAATAGCTGTTATCACTAGGGTTTTGGCGGCGTTGAGGCATTTAGCTTGCGCGCGCTAAACACCGCCACCTTCGAATGATAGGCTGACGACGTAGATCTAGAGCCTTAAAGGGCAGCATTGCCTCGTTGCCTCATATTTACGTTCAATAGGATGGATTCTATTCCGCCGAACTGGCTGCGCCACTTGTATGAGTTGTCACCAGGCAGAATTGGGGCCAAAATCACGTCGCCCCTCAGCCTCAATGCCCTAGTCTCTCTAGAGTACTGCACTATAATGAGTGTCTTATCACTATATCAAATCACTGTTCCAAATAGGCAGGTCCTGTCCTTACAGTTCGTGTGTTGTTAACGTCGAGGTCCTCAATATCTTTCCAAAGGTCATGGGTAAGAAGTGCTCCGCGCTGAAGAACGCTTGTTCGTCTCTTTGCCACTCCGTTGTAGCGCGATGGACCGCGATGTTCGATGCATTCAACTTCTGGCGCACGAGGCGTCGAACCGCCCTTATCGCCGCCTGTGTTGCAGCTGGTCTAACGCTGTCCCTGAATATCAGCGCCATCATTTACCTTCAGCTACGCTCAGTGCCAAATCCGGGAGGAGAAATACCAATCAACCCTCGCCTCTTTTTAGGAAACTGCTCGAAAGCCTTGCGCCTGAACACCGGCATTCACGTTTTGATCAATATATTATCAACGATCATGTTGGCTTCCTCAAACATGTTCATGCAACTTCTTCTGGCACCAACGCGAGCAGAAGTAGACAAAGCACATCGACGTCAGCGGTTTCTGGATATTGGAGTACCATCTTTACGAAACCTCCTTTACATCAGTACGCGCAATACGCTGGTCTGGGCTGTACTTGTGCTATCATCCCTGCCGCTACATCTATTGTAGGACATCTGCCGCGTCATTGTCACGTATATCATGCTGATATTCTCAAGGTACAACTCTGCTGTGTACATGACGAGGCCGATGAACAACATAAATCTGTATGTGGTAACGCCAGGCTTCTTGAAAGGCGAGACTGTGAGCGTCCGAAATGGCGTATGGATGTATAATTGGCGTCGACAACAGAACTTGACGGGCTTGGACGGCCGCAAGGCACGGGACCGCAAGATGGTGTCGCAGCAGATCGAAGGCGATGGACTCTTCGGCTGGTATGGCGGTTGCACCATGGATAACTGCTCATCTGTGCAACAGTACGCCATGCAACGTGGATACTCCCGGGTCATGTCACCTCTAGAATGCTTGAATGCATACTCGAAATTCGAAGGCGATCGATCCGACGTCATCTTCGTGTCTAGTTATGACTATCTCTGGAATTCGTCTACCGCAATTCCTCACTTTGCCCTGAATGGGTCGGAAGTCTTAATCACAGAGGATGCTTCGACGCTTCCAAACCAGATCAATAGTTCGCTTTTGTTCGCCTTAGAGCTACCCAGTATGTTCTCTGCGATGGGTTTCTGGATAGACTACGGATGGCTTTGCGGCAATACTAATAGCTTCGAATGTAAGTACATGGTCCCGTCACTTGTCACCAGCAAGCCAGTGTTGACGGATCCAAGGCCGACGGCCATCCTTATGGCGTGAAGATCCATCTATTATCAAAGATTGGAATATGCTCGGATGGAAAGTTGATGAGTGTCTCGTCCGAGATGTACCTCTGACGGACAAGTGCTCAGTCAATTACTCAACTGGGATCATCATAGGTATAACCTGCCCCATGAAATACACTAAGCATAATTCGCTGTTATCTAGGTTGTACGTTGCACGTCTCACGGTAATTGGAGCGTCATCCTTGTTACAGCGATCACATTGATTAAGTGCTCAAAAAAAAAAGACGGCAGCATCGGCGCGGCGCCACATAGGTCTGAATATTGCTAACGGGTAGCAGTGGTATGCTGCGTAAACGCTTTGAAACTCATCTGCATGCTTTATGGTGTCAGGTTGCTCTCAAAGGACGGCCCATACAGCAAGCCTCTCTCTACCATCGGCGACGCCATAGCCAGCTTCCTTGAAATTAAAGACGACACAACACGTGGTCTTTCTCTCACCAATAAAGCGACTCTAACGCGACACAAGTCACGATGGCCACGTAAGGGGAAACAAGTATGGACTGCGGACCGCTTCCGATGGTTTCAA